TGCACATACTTTTCACCCATAGACTTTTCACCCAGGAACTCTTCACCCAGAAACTCTTCTTGCACATACTTTTCAGCCATCTACTTTTCACCCAGAGACTCTTCACCCAGAAACTCTTCTTGCACATACTTTTCACCCATATACTTTTCACCCAGAGATACTTTCACCCAGAAACTCTTCTTGCACATACTTTTCACCCATATACTTTTCACCCAGAGACTCTTCACCCAGAAACTCTTCTTGCACATACTTTTCACCCATATACTTTTCACCCAGAGACTCTTCACCCAGAACTCTTCTTGCACATCCTTTTCACCCATATACTTTTCACCCCGAGATATTCTCCCAGAAACTCTTCTTGCACATACTTTTCACCCTAACTTTTCACCAAAGACTCTCACCCAGAAACTCTTCTTGCACATACTTTTCACCAATACACTATTTCACCCAGAGACCTTCACCCAGAAAGACTCTTCTTGCACATAGAACTTCTTCACCCAGATACTCTTCACCCAGAAACTCTCTCGCACATACTTTTCACCCATCTTCACTACATTTTTTTCATCCCAGAGACTCTTCACCCAGAAACTCTTCTTGCACATACTTTTCACCCATATACTTTTCACCCAGAGACTCTTCACCCAGAAACTCTTCTTGCACATACTTTTCACCCAGAAACTCTTCTTGCACATACTTTTCACCCGTATACTTTTCACCCAGAGGGCTCTTCACCCAGAAACTCTTCTTGCACATACTTTTCACCCATATACTTTTCACCCAGAGACTCTTCACCCAGAAACTCTTCTTGCACATACTTTTCACCCATATACTTTTCACCCAGAAACTCTTCTTGCACATACTTTTCACCCATATACTTTTCACCCAGAGACTCTTCACCCAGAAACTCTTCTTGCACATACTTTTCACCCATATACTTTTCACCCAGAGACTCTTCACCCAGGAACTCTTCTTGCACATCCTTTTCACCCATATACTTTTCACCCCGAGACTCTTCACCGAGAAACTCTTCACCCAGAGAGCTCCATGGAACCCCATAAAGCCCACCAAATGACCAAAGTTGGGCCAATGCTGGGCCAATGTTGGGCAATTTGGGGTTTAAGTCACGTACCAAAGTTGCTATCTACACGAGCCCTTTTTCAGATAGCAACTTATAGCAACGCGCTATGACCCCATAAAACCAACCAAGACCTTGAGATCCATTTTCTCTCCCATCTATTTGTCCACTTGACTGACCCCAAAAAACCGGACCTAGGGGGAATCGATACCCCACCGTCACTGTTTTGCCGCATGGTACATTATCCTGAACTTTTGCACCCAGTTTTTTTCACCTATTTACGATGATTTGGCTCCCTTTTGTCAACTACCCCTCCAGACCCCTATTCTCACTTCGTTCGCAAATAACAACTAGCCAGCCTCCTGGCTGGCTTTCGTAATATATGTAGATATATCACTACAGTTATTTTAACGTATACATATATACATGCAAATTCGAATCATCTCAGTAAATAATCCCACAAAGCAAAAACTTGTTTGGGCAGCGGAAGTCCACTAGAGAGATTGGACAAAAAGGGTTGGGTACAAATATGGGTTGGGTCAGATTAAAATGAAAAGACATAGAGCACAAAACAGAGATACATGACAGAAAAGAGACTGCCAACAAGTGGGGTGGTGAGAAGAACTTGGATTACAGTAAGTTTGATAGAGAGGAGATGGATGGAGAGAACCTGAATTGAAGTTTGAAAGACTAAAGTTGGATGGAGATAAGTTTGATAAAAATAAAATTGATAGAGGCCAGTTTGAAAGGACAAGTTGCATGGAGAAGCGTGATAATGGCAAGTTTAATCGACTTGACACGGATAGGTTTGATAGAGACAAGTCTTGATGGGGAAATTTATGATACAGAAAAGTTTGACAGAAGTAAGTTTGATGGAAATAAATCTGCGATCAGGCGAGTATGACGGAGATAAGTTTGATAGAGCAGAGTCTCATTGAAAATCATTGAAATGGGTTTGGTGTCAAGATTGACACAAAGAAGTTTGATAAGTTCGGTCGAGGTGAGTTTGACAGAAGACTTAAAGTGTCAGAGATCAGTTTGATAGACGTAAGTGTGATACGGGTGAGTTTGATAGAGGTAAGCTTCATAGAGGTAAACTTTATAGAGAAGTAATTGTCAGAAATAGGTGCAGCTCTGATAGAATTACTTTTGATAGAGAAAAGTTTGTGATAGAGAGGTGAAGACGAAGCAGGCAGCAGAAAAGCAAGGACCCCACACTGGGAAAAATTTTGGCGCAGGGTCCCACCTCCTTCTCGGTCCAATCCATTCAATGCCTTGAGAAAGCGTTTGAAGGAAGCCCTATGACGCATCGGAGTGCCCTTGGGTATGCCTTCCATGAAGTCCCTGACACCAAGCTCCTTCAAATCCCTCTGCACAGCCAACCTGGTTTTTCAAGCGAAAGAATCCTGTGGGAAAACATCCGCAAAATGACCCAAAAGTTGATCAATTTTGGACAGAAACATCATGTTTTACAAACTTGCAAACAATCTCCCAATCATCGACCAGTGACAAGGGCTCTGACGAGGAGTCCGACAAAGCAGCCTCCCCTCTCTGGCTGAACTGGGACAAAAGTTCTACTTCAACCTCGTAACCCAGACCGGTTAGGACATCTTTGGCCCATACTTGTTCCTCATCAGATAAGAGCTCCATGCCGTGGGCTTTGCGCAATTTAAAAAGCTCAAATGCTGCAGCGAGTGAGAAGGAGGCCCAAGATGCAAGAGGCCCCTGACTCACAGGACACTTGTATGGTGCAGTTTGCTTTCCAGGATAAGAAAGGAAGAAAGATACAGTAGATAGACCAGGGTGGTATGTGTGTTCATATGGCTGGATGGATGGATGAATGCATGCATGCATGCATGCATGGATGCATGGATGGATGCATGGATGGATGGATACATTGAGGCATGGAGGCATGGAGGCATGTGTGGATGGATGCATGTGCGGATTGATGCATGTATGGATGTATGTATGTAGGTATGTAGGAGGCATATGTGTAATTATGTGTGTATGTGTGTATGTGTGTGTGTATTGGTGTGTTTGTATGCATGTATATATGATACATTTACCTATGTCAATACTACTGTGCAATTGCGTGCATCTGTGCATACAATGTCGGATCATTGAAAATATACATATACATATGCACATGTGTATATATATATATATGTATTAGTACATTCATATATGTAATAAGACTAAATGTTGACACATAAACATTTAAACCAAACCTATGTACATACATCATACTATGTAACTATGTATGTCCTATATATATATATATTAATACAATTTATATAATACATGTATATCATATATCGGATGAGATGACCAGATCATCCCCCTGCCAAACGGGCATGGTCTCCCGGCCAATGCCTGGATCTGCTGAAGCCTCAGAGACCGGTTGGATGGATCTTCTTCATCATCATCATCATCACCACCACCACCATCCAATGTCCATGGAAAATGCACATATCTGAACCCACCACCAGCAAGTTTGGGCAAGACCTTTGATGTGGCGCGTTGGACAGCTCGTGTTTGCAAAATTGACCGTATCAAATATCAACCAAGCAATGCCTGCCCGATCTTGGTGCCCTGCAGGGGCCGTTGTAGCTCTGCAGACCTGGAATTGATCGGATCATGTAGCCGCGCCAAGACGACTACAGCTTCACACAGTACCTCTATTTTGGATACCGGAATGTGCCAAGGAATCAGGAGGTTTGATGGCGAAACTGTGAAGACCGTTTTGTCGTTGTTTTTTCTGTCAAGTCTGATAGTCCGTTTTGCGTGTTGCACCACCCGTTTCGAGGAAAAGGGTAACCTTGGGGTAACCTTCTTTTTGGGAGATGTATCAAGGGTAGGACCAAACAGCACAAAGAAATTTGCGATGTTCATCTCGGCTGGCCTGAGGTCAACAATGTGACTGAGCCGCCAAGAGGCCCTGCATTTTTTTCGAAAAACTGTAGATGAAATAGGTGAAAAAAAACAATAGGTACCTGTGAAAAAAACACCATAGACCATAGTCACCAAAGTAGCAGGCTACCAGGCTACCCAACTTCGCCCATTTTTCGGCACCCTTCGGGGCCTGGATAACTTCAGTGGAACAACATGTCCAGGCGTTTTGCGCTCTGGAATACGAAAGGATCCATATCTTCAGGGTGCATCCACAATTTGATTTTTCCACAGTGGGTTCAGAAATGTGAAGAATTGGATTTCGTGGTTTGTGGGAATTTGTGTGGAGCTGGACTTGAAACACCCTGGTGACGCCTCGAAGATTTCCCAGGATCACAAACCACCGGCCAAAGATTCGTTGATCCCGAAAACTCAATGATTGAGTGGTTGAGTGGTTTGCAATGATATGAAAATGTGGGTGTCTGGACTTTCGATTTCATTTTGCCACACCTTTCCAAATTTGACGAGGAAGCGGACTTGTTGTTACAGGACGAGTTGCCCATGCTTTTGTCCAGTGTTGTCGGACAGGACCAAATGTTTTAAGAATATTTTTCAAGATTGGATGACCCTCCCCAGGGCCTAGTGCTGTTGTTATTCAACCGTGGCACATATTCTCTCGTAGCCCAAGCTTCTCCACATGGCTGCAGGGCGATACTCTTTGCAGTAGAAAACAATAATGAATATGACCTGGGTTTGTATACTTGTTACAGACTTAGATTTGCACATGTTTGCAAGCAAATGATGAAGTTCTGGTTCAAATTCTGGTCAACAAAGCTCGCCCAGTGTCCCGTGGTGCTTCCTGTGTCCCAACTCCTTGGTGTAGTAATTCGTGCTTGGTTTGATGAGATTCTGTCATGGAATGGCAGCTGTGAGCCAAAACAATCTAAGTTTGCCGCCGTAGCACTGCAGTGCTTGGTCAAGGTGAGATATTTGCAAATTGCTAGTTGGATTCATTGCAAAGTTCATCCGCATGTTTCTGCCAGAAACCGAGTTCACGATTGACAGCCATTTGCTGCCCTCATTAAGATCATTAAGACCGTTGAGACCCTGATGCCTTTGTCAAGGCCCAGGCAATGTTGAAAAACCTCTTTAAAGTGTGGCAGGGTGTGATATGTACAATGGCCACTTGAAAAAAGATACCTATGAATAACTATCTAGTTAATTCTAATTACTACTAATGACTATCTATACCCTTTCAAGATCTTTCAAGTCTTTTCGCTCCCAATTTCGTCCACCAGTGACCATGGGTCCGCTGCGCTCACTCCTGGCACCAGACCCAAGTTCAGTTCTCAGTTTTTGGATCCCCACGTCGAGACATGGGTTGAGTCCAAAAATGGGAGTGTCCCATTTTTATGATCCAATCGTGTTTGTCGTTTTTTGTTCAAATCATTCCAACTACAAACATCTACAAAAACACTGTTGGAATGGGGTCTATTACCGTTATACCCTCTGGTAATGACTAACATAGCTATTGAAAATGGCCATAGAAATAGTTGATTGTCCCATTAAAAAAAGCCATGTTCAATAGCTATGTTAAATTACCAGAGGGTATACCCCCTGATTTCCTTATGACAAACGGGGAATTCCGGGAATCTGGTGGAAATTCCGCCCCCCCTATTTCCGTCCCGAAGTTCCGGCAGCAAGCAAGCCAGCAGCGTGGCATTGTCCTGCTGGCACGAACCCACCGCAACTGGCGGTGGCTGGCTGGGAAATCCCCTTGAAATTGGATGGGAACATGGGAACATCATACCCTCCGGTAAACATACAAAAAGCTATTGAAAATGGCCATTGAAATAGTGGATTTTCCCATTGAAAGTGGTGATTTTCCATAGTTATGTTATCAGAACTAAATGGGAAATATGGTCCAGTGCTATGATTACCAAACAGCACCTGCACATGGACTCTCAGTTGAAAAGGCGTGGGAAACCATCCACCCAATCAGATTCATTGCCCCATGAACCTAGAATTTATAAGCTGCAACCTCTGCCCTACTGAACATCTTACAAGTCAAACACTAGACTCACTAGACTTGCACCCAAGAACGCACTACCAATTTTTTGCACATCTAGTCGTACCGACCCATGGTGCACCATCAAACAATCCACGATCCGCATCAAAAAACACCCCCATCTAACTAGGTTGTATTTTCAAGAAAGTCGATAATGTGGGAAAGCCAATGCCATAAATCTGCCAGTTGGGGATGGTTTATACCACCCAGAAAGATCTCCGATCTCACCACGATGTCGCCTTATTGTCGGAGGCCACACCCCCACCAGCAACGTCCAGGGCTTCCGCCACCTTCTTCTCAAGTGAGGCATAACCTGAAAAGCCCATCTCTGGGAGAGAACCACGCATCGGATCCGTGGTTTATAATCCATATGTCACTTATATAAGCCATATAATCCCATATAGAAGTGGGGATATTACATTCCATATGTAAATGGAGGTATAATACGGGATTACACCCATTTACTAAGGATGCACCCCACCCCCTACTTAGCTTGTGGACTTATGGTAGATATATCATTGCCATTCATTGCCTATAGCTAGCTAGATGGGTTTTTATAGCCCAACATAACTGGAGGTGAACCACCTTCTACCAGAATTAGGTGAAGGGGATTCTTGTTAGGAAAGTCATGGTGTCCTGTGAAAATTATCGGGAACACAAAATAATAATGGCAGACTGCGACCTGCGTTTCCACCATCGAATCATTGAAATTATGGAGGTAAGTACACATGTCATGGGACGATGGAAGCAAGAACGAGGATACAACCAGCAAAGGTCGGGAGATCAGCAAAAATGATGGAGACGACTTCTTTACAAGGGGAGAATCAGGGAATGAGCAAAAAGAACATGGGATGACCAGCAACCTTCAAGAATGGCCACCAGCCACCAGGCACATTTTCAGTCTATCCGAGGTACTCTCTGCCTTTGCCACCTCCTTGAAAATCGCAACAGCCTCGTGGCATGGCACAGGATTCATTTCAACCCACTCCAAGATCCTGGGGCCAAAACCATCTGGTCAAACTATCAAATGGGCCAAAAAGAATATCAAAACATCAAGAGAGGTCACAACTGAGCGCTGATTCATTTGGACTTATCCACCAGAAAAAACACAAAAAAAACATGGTATCAAGGGCCTTCCAAGGGGTGGCCTTCCTGGGCCCAGGCCTCTTCATCCTTGCGGCTTTGACACAGTCCGTCAGTACAAAGTGCCACCAACCTGGTGACACAACGGATTGGAAGATTCAGCCCGTCCAGATGCTGCATCTCTTGGCAGTTTATGTTCAGTTGTTCAAGTGTTCAAGGTACGGTGGGAGGTTTGCCTCCTGTTTGGAAAAGACACAATGAAATCAAGAATCGGTCCGCCCTCCATCTTTCGGCGATGTCCATCCAAAAACGATCCATTCCCACCACCGGCGCCCTTGGGTGCAGCCCAGCAACACCTGCTCCCCAGCGTCTCTACGTAGAATCAGACTGTCCGACAGCGACGGCACCAGTTCAGCAAAGTCAGGGATGCCACAGTAGCCGATGGCACGCGATACGCCCAGGACACCGTTCACACGGTGCCCATTCGCTCCATACTCCACGAATCCACCTGGCACGTGAAATCCACGAAGTCACAAGGGATCCCAAGAGTTTTTTTCCATGTGATGTTGGTTTGTCTCCCAATATACTTGGCAGTGACATCCCAAAAAGTGGTGTCTCCCCTGATCTTGCCCTCACCCGACAAGTCGTGGATTTCCATGGATTTCCCCAACCTGCCGCATCGATCCTATCCATCTCCTCTGGATCCGTCACCCGGTGCGCATGGGTCAGGACACAGCCAGGAAGCTGCTGTGGTTCGTGGCCGCTGTGGTCCAGCACCGTCCAATCCCCTACCAGCGCCACCCGCGAATCACCGATGTTGCACAGCACTGCATGTTGGCCATCGGGACACAACAGCGCTGCCGCGGCAGTGGTACCTAAAAGGCTGGATGTGCCCGAAAATCGGCTATAACATGGCTATAACGTATACCCCAATTTATGGCATCATCTTTTGAAGTTGTCCCTTCGATTTTCAAGGCCCATTTATTGGAAAGGCATCATGGGTCCAACTCTAACACCATGGGATCCATGATGGCTTTTTCCAGATCCAAAAACCATGCCATATTGGTGTACCCTTTCATCATACTTACATAAGCATGTTCATATGCACAATGCATATGCATATTCATACAGATATATATATATATATGTACACAAACCACATTTCAATGCACAAGGTAGGACGCGCTGGCAAGTGCAAACTTTTCCATCGCCCAAGAAGTTGCGTGTCAGCCGCCAGCAAAGAGCCGCAAGCACCAGCGCCACCACAGGAGGTCGGCCACGTAGGACAGCAAGAAAGGAGAGCTATCGGCAAGTACTTCATGTAGAGCTGGTAGAGGCAAGGCTGGGCACCAACCAAGGCAGAGCCGGCAGCATAGCCCGGGTGGGAGGTAGTGGGGCCAATTTCACTGCACCATGTGGAAGTGAACATGGACAACATGTACACAAACCACATTTCAATGCACAAGGTAGGACGCGCTGGCAAGTGCAAACTTTTCCATCGCCCAAGAAGTTGCGTGTCAGCCGCCAGCAAAGAGCCGCAAGCACCAGCGCCACCACAGGAGGTCGGCCACGTAGGACAGCAAGAAAGGAGAGCTATCGGCAAGTACTTCATGTAGAGCTGGTAGAGGCAAGGCTGGGCACCAACCACTTCTAGCAGGCACGGTCGGCAGGTTTACCAAGGACGGGTGTAGCAAAGGTACGTTTGTCTTTTCCCTGCGAAGCTAGCAGTCACCAGGAAACAAAATTGCAAAGGTCGCAGCAAAGGCCCGCTCTGTTGACTTTGAGGAAGGAGAAAGCTTTGCCAGAAGGTGTAGGGCTAAAACTTCTTGCAGGTAGGATTCGAGAGTTGACTGGACCGCAGCCCCATCAACCAAAGCAGATCTTGAATAGGTCTGCCAGCTTTGTAGTGATGTACTGCAGCGCCACCTCGAAGACCACCAGGTGTCAGCTTTAGCGAACTGCACATGTCCAGCACCCTTAAACATAGTCCCAGCGCTTTCTATACTGGTATCGGCTGGCTGCAAAAAGCGGATGATCCAGATCCGTGGACAAAAAGATCTTGGATAGTGTCAGAGAGGCTTCACGGTCCACTACCTTCATGTGCTCGATCTTCGCTGGTTGCAAGATCTCCACGGCAGCAACGCAAGAACTCTCGCCACCGGCCAGCGCCATAGAAAGCCAGGGCTGTAGCTCCAACCCACTGCCACCACTTTAGCTGCCATGCCAAAGGAACAATGGCTTTCACAAACCAGAGCCAAGGTGTGCCCTGTAACCATCTGCACAGCAGGCAGACCAGTTGCATGCCTTTGTGCAACTCGCCGACGAGGTCCAGGGTGGTCAGCGTCGCCGGTACTAAGTGAAGACGACCTTGAACAACCGGCAGCATCCAGGCGCTCACAGCCTATCCATCCTGTCTTCCGCCACAAACCAAATTCCACAAGAAGGCAAACCCCCTTTTGGGTAAGGCTGTGCCACTGCTGTCCCTGGAATCTTGCTAACCGGGTGCCGCCCTCTCAGCTGCACATGTTTCTTCTTGCACTTGCAAAGCATCTTTTGTCCCACAAGCCTAGTGTTGGTTGCAAAACGGGTGCCTTCCTCAGACCCTAACCCGCACAACAGCATCTGAAGATTTCATGTGACCAGCAAGGCCTCAATCTCCGCCACCGCTTCTGCCTCCAAGGCCATGAGGTGTCTGGGTTTCCCACTAAGTAGGCAAGCTCCTCAGTCTCGCCGTTTCCAACAACATCACGGAGAAAAACACAGTGGCTATTCCCATCCGACGCCTTCTTATGCATGGACGCACGCAGGCCAGGGATTCCTCTGGTGAACCATGCTGATCAAACTTGCAGCGTAGCGCCAACGAAAAACTGGCGCAAGTTGGAGCGCCCGCGCTGGTTTTGGAACAACCAGCCTTGAACACCCGAAACAGTTTTGCCCTAAGCAGCAGGTCAAGTAAGTCCTAAGAGGCGGACCTACACCACTCATCCGTAGGCACCCAGGACGCTCCAAACTGCACCATCATCTTTACGATCCCAAGCTTTCCAGAGAAAAGGTCATGTCCTCCAGGTTGTAGAAAACTATGAATCTCCTAAACAAGAAATAGCTGGCATCGCCGGAACTCCTCGTTGACGCATCCACTTGTCAGAAGGGTCGAAGACCCCTTTCAGCAAATTCATCACACCAAGTTGGGAGCTGCATGTCAGTAGGTAGCGGCACAGATTCACGGGTTGGGCCATCAGCTCTATTGGAGGCAGTGTTGAAGTACATGGGGCAAGCCTAGACATCTCCAACAATAGCATCTGGCATAGGTCACTGTAAAAGGGCATGCCATCCAGGCGAAGCTGCCCGCCCTGTGACTACTGCGCCCGACTTGTGAATCCATGCCAGTGAGATACCCGCAGCTTCCGACTCCAGCATCACGTCTCTTTTCCAACACAAAGGCAGTCAACTCGCTGACATCGATATGCTGTTGCCGACGAATTTCTCTCCGCCAGGTCTCCCTGTACAAAAGTGCCCTCGCGACCATTTCCCACACAAGATGAGACCGATAGTGGTCGTCCGGCACCCGTCCCTCCTCTGCAAGCAAGCCATGTAGTTGCAACCAAGCTTTACCAGGCGGCAAGAGCTTTGTTCAAATGCCTTTCTCTGGCTGTGTCATAACAGCACTTGTCCAGCTTTTGGATGTAACTGCACACGGACTCCAGCCATAGTGATACCACCAGCATCAGTAGCACTGACAATGCGGCAAAGGACGCCCTCAAGCGGACCAGGGCAGGCGTGCCCAAAACAACACTGGCCATTCGCTCAGACACCGACTCCTCAGAAAGTCGCATGACTGTGGACTGCGAGCATCGAATAGACAGAGGTTCAAAGATAACCTCCATCCAGCAAAACACCCCGCGGGACCCCTAGAAGAGAGATCCAGCTGCCAGAGCGGCTCGCCAGCAATCCAACTGTAGCCAGGCGCAGGGCACGTACGCGCACAGTGAAGGCCATGACTGCAGCGCAACCGCCCTCTGACTCCATCGACATCAGCACCCCAATAGCTCGCCAGGGTATAGCCAACCAAAAACCTTCTAGGTGTTGTTCTTGAGCCACTCAGACCCGTACGCTGCTGCAGCTAGGCACACCTTTCTAACACTATCTGGTTCACTGCCTGCATGATGGCGAACCTCTAAAAAAGTCCACCAAACCCGTTCGAGCACAACAAAGTCAACGACAATGACGCCCACTTGAAGAAGCAGTCTCGGGAGATCTCCTCTAGACGTCAGAGGCTCATTGACTTTTGCAACCATGTATTGCAGGAGCAGTCATAGGAGTGCACACTGCACGAACTCCACCGCGCGAGTATCGCCCATAGCTAACGAAGACAGGCCTCCGGTCACTTTCTATGAGGGCCAAACCAAGCTCTTGCCAAAGACAAACTTTGCCTCGTCCGCAAACTGGGAACCTTGCAAGCTCGGTTCCAAGTAGATGCCCGCCAAGGCAGAAGCAGACGCCAAGGCATAGCACCAACGGTTCGGGCCGTTGTCAATCGTGTGAGTCCAAGAACATTCTGGGTACAAACTGTGGAAACCCAGGAAAGACAGACGGTCAGCAACCAGGGGCTTTGCAGTAATGTCTCTGCCCAGGTCGACTTCGCCAACAACCACTCCACATCGCTTGCTAGGAGCATCCAAAACTGGGTCGCCAAAGCTGCGACCACAACCAAAATAGTCAGCCCGGCAGAGCAGTAGAGAGGCCACAGCCCGTGACAATGTGGGAAGGCATTTTTCAAAGCGCACAACCTTTCCAGCAGCCCGCCCCATGTCACAAGCATCCACTGAATTAGGAGTGTTGCCATCAAAGGAGAGGGGCTCAAGCATCCTCACAGCAGACCAATGCCAGGCTAAAAGTTTTAACCCAAGGCGGAGCCAGGCTGGGGCTTTAACCGGCTTTTTCAAACAGAGCCACGGGAAGGCCAGAACCTGCATGGAAGCCAGCTTTTTCGCATGCTGTCTTGCATCCTTTCTCCCACCCGCAAGAGAAAACTTCAGGTAACGGCACCGGCATTGGCCAAAAAGAGCTCTCCAATGATGTAGGGCCATCATGGCCGTAGGGCATTAGCAAGATGGAGTGCAAAAAGCCGCTGATGGCCGCATGAGCTTCGCAGCAGCCAACGCGGAAGGGCATTCAGCAGGGATTCAACCCTAATTGTAGTGGCCTGACTGCCAGGAACTTCGGCCTGATGAGCTGCGCCACTTGCATGCAGAGGGAGGTTTTCTAGACCTCGCTTGCC